TTTGAAATTATAAAAAGAGTTAAAAGTAGGAATACAATTTAGAAATAAAAAATTCGAAATAAACTATAAGGAATATTAAAAGAACAATCTATCTAGAATACAATAGTCACAAATGATACTAAAGAGAGGGGGCACAAGGGTGAGCCATAAAGGAGTATGGTGATGATGGTTGATGTGACATTAAAACTATAGAATAACACCCGAATAATGGTTAGGTTTGATTTTTGGAATACCAATGACAATTAAGAGGAGGGGTGGCGGGTAGACCATAAAGAAGTTGGGTCGCAGTTATTGACGGGACTTCCAGAAAGTAAAAAAAAAAGAAACCAAACTTGATCAAGTTTGATTTTTCAAATCAAAATAACACTAAAGAGGGGTACAGCGGGCGGATTGTAAAGGAGTACAGTGGCGACGTTTGATAGTACTTCTAAAAAATATAAAAATAAAAATGATGTGACACTGAACTTTAAAGCTATAAGATCTTTAAAGTTCATGGTGCATAAGTAGAAATCGTGGCGGACCGTGGAAGCAAACAAAGCGATAGAAAAGGAGTAAGAGGTAACGGCTAGTATGAATTTTAAAAACTATAAAATTAAAAACCCAATGATGATAAGGTTCAGTCTATCAAAATCCTAAGCCAACGAGATGACTATTTAACAAATTTTAAAGAAAACCACGTGTAAAAAAAATTAAAAAATTTTGTATGATGCTAGCCGCGTAATTACGCGGGCCACCTAGCTAGTTAGATTAAAAACAAAGGAGACATGCCATACCCGTACGAGAGGATCCAGTCACTTACGAACGTCTTCTCCGTTTATTTTTCTTAAATTTTTCCCTTCATTACGGAAATATTTCCAACGAAAAATTTTAAATACAATAACTTTAGATTATATATTATTTGTAACAATAAAATTAAATAATTATAACTTTTAATTTTTAAATTATACATTCAATTTTTTTTATCTATTTGCACCTTTTGTGTTATTTATGATTAAAATCACAACTTGAATTTAAGACACGTGTTGACTATTGTTTCACTTGTAAAAATGTATATTCTTTAAATTTTTATTGAGAACCTTTGCAAGTCATTCGAACATTTGAGATACTATATATTATTTCATCATATACCACTTCACTAGCATTTATAAATATAATAGACTAGCTGAATCTTTGCTAGGGTAAAAGAAATATAATAATAATATTCAAAATAAATAAAAGATATATTCTCCATGAAACGTGTTATCTATCATTTTGCTATAAGGAATATTCACCTTAATTTAACTTTATATGTGGCTATCCATTTAGATTTAATTGATTTTTAATACAGAGAAGTTAATGGGATAAATTGTTAAATTACAATGGAAATAGGTGGGGTGGATGATTCGCTGCCACCACTACTACTCTTTTCAAAGTAGTACAGAAAATTAAGACAAAGTTTACACGTACAATTTTAACTTGTAGAAAGATATATCCTAAAAAAGTAGAAAAATATATTTGATGTATTTGGCAATTTGCATGTCATCCAATCGGACATCAAAACTTATAAAAAAATGACAATAAATTTAAGATTGTGTCATCATATATCAATTTAAGATCGTGTTCCGACTTTTAAAAAAATCACTCGAGACATTAAACCAAAAGATAAGTTTTTTTTTTTCAAAATCGGACAAACACCATGAAAATCCACCAAGTGAAGCACAAGTGGCAACCAACAGCATGCATGTGGGCCGGCAACAGGCAATTTGCTAACCATGCAAAGCTCGACGATGATTTATGGATTAGACACATCAAACTAGCATCTTGATTACAACCATGTGTGAATAAAAATATATATACCGATCGTAGCAATAGCAGAGCTCTATGGCTATGGGCACATGTGAGGTTGAGCGAGGTGCACCTCTGACAAGGGACTGACAGGGGCTGACAGGGGATGAATCGGAATAAAGATTATCTTTAGTTCCGGTTGGTGTTACCAATCGGGACTAAAGATTGTAGAATGGCTATGGGGTTTTAAACTGAAACTAAAGATCCCGGTTCTTTTTATAACTGGGACTATTGTGGTTTTGGGGCGACCGAGCAAAGATCAATTTTTCAGTAGTGGTGTCTGCTAGTGTGCAACATGGGTAGCAGTGTCAACAACATCGGGCAAACTGCCCAAACTCGAGGGAAGTGATACCATAGGCAGGTTCGAAGGAGGCAACGTTGGCAAGCTAGCGAACTCGAGGTTAGCGTTGGCGGGCGAGCAAGCTGAGGGTGATATTGGGAACGTGTACAGACTGTCGACATGCTTGAAGCAGTGCCAATAATGCTAAGCTCGAGGTCGTACAAAACTAATATCTACACTAAATTGATTGAAACAAAAATAATTCGAAGATACTTTCGAGAAATATTTAAATAATCCAATTATGGTATGAGTAAAAGGGATACAAATTCTTTCATATATCAATTAGATGTTTGAAGAATTAATTTGCATAAAAGGTTGCCTTTTAGCATAAAGGACCCGGTCGTCATATACAATATAGTTTTGATTTAAATATTTTAATGACTAAATACGTGAATGTTAGTTAGGAAAAGTAATTCAAACAATAAACCTAGGCTTTAGTCTATAGCACATCAACGTGCTCGATCTATATAGTTGCAGTCATATTTCAAATTAAATTCATTTTCGAAGAAAATAAGTGAACAGATGGAAGAGAAGAATTCTAACTCTCACCGTACCAATCATGATATATATGCTAGCTAGCCACAAATTATGTGGATGATTTATTTGCCTATATATTATACGGAAGCAATGGTATCTAAGTTTTAATCCATCCTTAATTTGGTAGTGAATGCTGAGGCAATTTTGATCAATTTTATTGTCATATACATTTTGCACAACGCGTGTGAAATAATAGTATGAACCAATATGAAAGCTTTTTAATAGTTGTTAACAGAAATGAGAACAATTAGCGTTCATTTATGATAGAACAACATTATATCTTTAATTTAACATCAACTTTTTTAGTTAGAATTTATATGCTGCAAAGGTAATTAAAAGAAAAACATAATCAACGTTAAAAACAATCCAAACAAATAGAGATACTACTAGGAGCGCAGTGCGCTCCTAATATAGCAAGTGTCAAACATGTATCAGCGCAGGCCCACCTCACCCACGTCCCATCATCCCGCTCCCATCGTTATCGGAGCAAACGATTTACTTAGATAAAAACAACTTCCCTGCATCCGATCCCACCCCACGTCCCATCATCCCGCTCCCACCATTATTGGAGGAAATAATTTATTTCGATAAAAGCAATTTCCTCGCTTCCAGTATATATTATATTTTCCCCATACCCAACCAACCACTCTCGCCCTCACTTCATTATTTCCTTTCTTGGGGGGCGGGGGGGTTATCTGAATTGATCCACCATCCTAGCCCACAGATCGGTGATGCACCATGGAGGAGGAGGAGGACGACGACACCGTGGCGGTTGACGGTGGTGGCCGGTGGCGGTTGAGGCGAAGGTGCTGCTTCGAGCCTCGCAGCCGGACGCTAGGTAGTACCTTAACCAGCAAGGAGGTGTTCACCTAGGCCGAGAGCAATAACCGGCGGCTGCTCCACGTCGGTGACATTGACAGAACAAGCAAGTAAGGAAATGACACTTCAATTTACATCTACATACTCTCCTTCACTTTCACGCATGAAGCCCCTGTTTGCAAATCAAATTAACGTGTAATCTCCAATATTACCTTATCTGAATTGATCTGATCGGCTGCACAGGTCTTACATTTGCACATCGTGCTCCATGTGGTTGGCCGTAGAGGATAGGGTGGAGTTCGCCGGTGATGGAAGTTGTTTGCTATTTTTTTCCCTCGTCGTCTCTATGACATGAACGAGAATGTTTTTGCATTTTTTCCGTGCTTGCTAGATGATGGATGGATGCTACTGCGCAACGTCGAGCTCATCTTTATACCACGCCACTATGTCCTTTCATGATTCCAACGTCGACTACCGCTCACCACCCGGTTTCCCTCTCCACTATCCACTACCATCACAAGACACAGACCAGCCTCTCTATCCTTATAGCAAGATCCAACAAAGCCACCAGGATCCTAGCTTCACGATGAATTTTTGGCTGTATCATTTTTTTTTCTTTTCTAGTTTGATTCACCTGTGAGTAATTGTATCCCTCGTGTGTGATTGAGCCTATAATTTTTTTTCATTCATATGGCCATTTTGTGATACAGATTAACAATCCTCTTAGTATCAACTTTTACTCTTATACTGTATATTGAACACATCAATAAACATATTACTATACGGTGGCTACGAGATCATGGGCTATATCGAGAGGAAGGTGGTAATTATTTTACTCGCAGACCACGAAGTCTAACCAATATTTATAACACTGGTAAAAGAATTACTAGCGTTGTAAGCTGATAGTAATTATTTTATGGCCATCTAGGAATGGTGTCGTATGATGTGGGGCAGGGTTAAACTTTTCAGTTTAGCCGATTTGATCGGACCTCACCGAAATACCGAAATTTTGGAAATTTCGGTCCAAAATTTCCGAAATTTTGAACAAAATTTAGTTGAATTTGAACAAATATTACCAAAATTCACGAAAAATTAAAAAATTTGAAAAATTTCGGCCGAAATAATATCATATCGGAGGGGTCCGAAATGACCAAAATTTCCAACCCTGATGTGGGGCGCATTCATGCAAGTAAATTTGTTACTGTTGAATAAGCAGATGTAGAAAGCTGCGAGCAGGGTTTAATCTTTCGGTTTGGTCATTTGTACTTGGGGGTGGCCGAAATACCGAAATTTTGGAAATTTTGGTCCGAAATTATATGAATTTTTTTAATAAATTTTGATCTAATTTAAACAAAATATTACTAAATCATAAAAAAATAAAAATTTTGGCCGAAATAATATCATATGGTGGGGTCCGATAGAACCGAAATTTCTAAAATTTCGGAAATTTCGATCCGAAATTTTCAACCCTGCCTAAGAGTAAATGGAAAACTCCACAGAGTAAATTCGTTACTTTTGAAACGTGAGGAGACACTAGCAAAACAGAAAACTCGGAAAGAAAAACTATAATAACCCGTGCATTATATGGGTTGTTTGACTAACTAATATAATTGACCACTGATCATAAGCTGTGCAGCTCCTTGAGATGAGCGTTGCCGGCCTCGATATTCATAATGTATTCGATCTCCTCTGCAACCTCCTTCATGGATGGCCGGTTTTGGCGGCGTTCCTCGAGGCATCCTAACGCAAGAAACCCGAGAGCCTTGATGGTGTCGCATTGCAGCTGTGTGGCGTTATCCTTCAACACCGGGTCCACGACATCCATAAGGCGCTCCTCCTCTGCTGCCCGTTGCACGTGCACGGCCAAGTTGACATCGTCGGCGCCACGGCCAAAGTCAATGGCGCGCTTGCACGTCAGAAGCTCCAACAGCACGACACCGAAGCTATACACGTCACTCTTGTCGGTGAGCTGGTAGTTCCGGTAGTACTCCGGGTCGAGGTAACCCAGCGTCCCCTGCGCGCACGTCGAGACGTGGCTCAACCCCTGCTCCGCCAGCCGGGACAGCCCAAAGTCGGATACCTTGCCATCCATCCGCTCGTCGAGGAGTATGTTGCTCGACTTGATGTCCCGGTGGTAGATGGGCGGAACAGCGGAGAAGTGCAGGTACGCGATGCCCTGCGCCGTGTGGTGCGCGATGGCCAGCCGCCGCCGCCACGGGAGCGGGGGGTGGCTGAGGGGGCCGTACAGGTGGTCGGCCAGCGTGCCGTTGGGGATGAACTCGTACACCATCAGAGGCTGCTCCAGGTCGACGCAGCAGCCGAGCAGGCGGACGAGGCTGCGGTGGTTCACCTGCGACAGCACGCGCACCTCGTTCAGGACCTGCTCCGTGGACTTGGTGTTGCCGAGCTTGGCGCACTTGACGGCCACCACGGTGCCGTCCGCGAGGACGCCCCTGTACACCTCGCCGTAGCCGCCGGCGCCGAGCAGGTTGTCGCGGGAGAAGTTGGCGGTGGCGCGCCTCAGCTCTCGCCCGGAGAAGTTCTTGGCGGTGCGGCCGCTCGAGTTGTTCGCGTTGAGGATCTCCTCGCGCTCCTTGGCCAGCTTCTCCTTGGCCAGCCGGATGCGCTGCTGCCGCCGATAAGCGAACAGTCCTGCAGTCGCCACCAGCAGCGCGCCGCCTAGGCCGCACACGATCCCTGCATTGCATTCATGTATTTATAGCAAGATTAAACCATCCATTATCTTCTTAATTCACTAGTTAGTAAATTCCACGCTTGCTGCCTTGATGTGCTTATTAATTAACGGTCGACCAATAGTACTAACTGGTTAATCAATTCCTTATGCTTCAATTCCTTAGCTTATGTTTAAGGAACAACAAACATCAAATATCTATATTTAAGGGTGAATAGTCAAAGTAGTCCTCCAAGTTTCATCAGTTTCATCAGAGGCTTAGTTTAGTTCTATTTCAATCTATCTATATATATATAAGTACTTCAAGTTTTCCTTTTAGTTCAAATTTATCCTTGAACCAACAATTTTCTTCATAAATAACACACACACACATATATATATATATATAAAAGAGAAAAATTGCATGCTTGAATTTTTTATAGATAATACATAGTATATTATGTAAAATAAAAATAAATTATGTACTAGCAAGTGTATACGATAGCAATTGCTTAAGTTTCATGTGCACATATTGAAATAATGGGAAGTACATATGTAATGTTGTTTATTTATATTGGCTTTCTCTTTTCTAGTGTATAGTTGTATACAAATTAAGGGCAAAAAGGATATTTTCTAATAGGAATATTGACTGGAAATAGCCATATGGCATATTAAGTGGACCCAAGGATGATTTCAAGCCAAAACAAATATTTAGAGGAGCTATATGGACAAAATAAAACGTGAAAGACCAAATTAAACCTTCGGTGAAACTTGAGGGACTAAATTAGCTATTCACCCTATATTTAACCAGCTAGATGAAAATTACATGTGTGTTGCTGCTGTTACCGTGGGATAGAAGGTTACATCTACCGAATTCACAATGGTTAAAATGAGTTGTGTGGTGTGTTGATTTTCATTGTAGCGATTAGCGAACATGGTTTGATTTGATATATTTTATATGTTTTGGAACTTTGATCAATCGATTATCCCAAATCTAGAAAAAATTAATTAAGTTGATGTGGCACCATGAGACAGGATAGACAATTTTCATATATAAACTATCCAAGATGTGGCCTCCATGAATTATTTATTAAGTATTGTTTTCAAAGAAAAATCTTGGTACATCCATTTAATGGTTGGGCTCCACGAAGGAGTTAAATTGTTTCGCGTGGAGAATTCGTACAAACTCCAAAGCGAGCTAAATCGTGCAGCAACTCATTCCAAATTTCCAACCGTTGAACTTCCTTGGTTCGTCCGTGTTGTAAAGCTGACAATGCTAGCTCTCTGGATGGAGTTAAGTAGATTTACACTTGCTCTGGTATGGTCAATGCTTTTCTCCGGATGTAAGCCGCCGCAAGTTGACCATTGGCGCAAGGGAGTATGGGACCCAGCATGATACTGATGTAAACCTACTTTCAGTTGATCTCTCATTTATATTCAATCCAGATCATTGACCTCAATTTTATTTTATCAGCCCGGATTACTTATTGTATACCGAATAAAAATGACTAAGTGCCTTGACCATGCTCCTGATATGTATTCGATGCTTGGATTATTTCTTATTCATAATCAGATAACTATAATACTACGACCCCCTCTATCTACAAATATAAGCATTCCAAATATTTTTTTAAAAATTCAGTATTATAAACATTCCAATCAATTAAAATTTATTCACAAATGTAAAGATTTTAAAATAATATGTGTCCCATCAATCATTTATCTCTCGTTTAAATTTATTTTCGTCTTATCCCCAACGACCACACTTCTACCCCTATCCATACCTCATTCTTTCCTTCTTAATTTTACTCCATGCTAAGAGAAATTTTCATATTTGTGCACGGAGCGAGTAACTACTCGCAGTAACAACTAACAAAAGGGTAATAGCGGCCTACTTAATCACTGAGTTTTCACCAAAGCAACGAATAACGACTCCACAATTCGATCTCTCTCCGTTAAAACCAAGCAAGCGGCTAGTCGCCCGCCTTGCAAATTGAAGTCGTAACTAGATAGTAGGCGTCAAGCATGCATCCCGATCGAGAACAGAGGTCCTAATTAATTTCCCAGGATGACAGTAATAAGAAATTAAGACGCTAGCTAGCGCTGAAGGAAGGAAGCAATATAATTACCAGCAATGAGAGGCGCATGGTTGGATCCGCTATCCGTGAGATCTGCATCAAAATTAACAGCCATAAAAAAAAATTAGAGGCGCCTCACAGCCGAGCTGTCAGCCGTCGAAGCAAAAAAATTAAACGTACTCTGCTGCTGGCACGCGCCAGCGATGGGATTCCAGACGAGCCCGGACACGCACAGGCAGCGCCGGACCGTGCCCGCGCCTCCGGTTGCCGACGGGTCGTCGGCGCAGGTGGCGGCGGCGCCGTCCTCGCAGTCGGCCTGCGTGCGGCACAGCGGCTCCCTCGGCGTCGCCCACTGCAGCTCCAGCCCGAGGCGGCTGCCCCACGTCGCCGGCGGCTGCGACGGGTCGAGCCCCACGAAGCTCCGGTACGCGCTGCACGACTGCGGGCCCAGCCGGATGCGGTACGACGTCGACGAGCCCCCCGCCACGAACGTGCAGCACAGCGGCAGCGGCGCGCACGCCGACGCCGTCGACCCCGCGGCGCCCGCGTAGGCGTGGCAGAGCGAGTTGGAGGAGCAGTTGAGCGGCGACCGCAGCAGCAGCTCCGTGCAGTTGAGCAGCATGACGGTGTTGGACGAGCTGACGTTGAACGGCCGCGATGGGTCCAGCTGCACGCCGCGGGACGCCGCCGCGCCCACCGACACGCACGCGCCCGGCGACACGAACGGCGCCGGCGACACCACCAGGCGCTGCGACGCCGGGGAGATGGAGGTGATCGGGTACGACGTGCCGTTGAGCGCGTCGAACAGGAGCGTGGGCGCCGTGCCCCCCGCCGCCGCCGCCGCGCACCGGACCTTGTACTCCGGGTCGCCGCACCCGTCCGCCGTGCTCAGCGGGTACGGCACCTCCGTCGAGCCGCACGGCGGGCACACTCGCGCGTGACCGCCCGGAAGAAGCAGCGCCATGGCGACGGCTACCTCCAAGAAGAAGAGGAGGAGGGCACGGCGCGACAAGCTCGAGCTCGCCATTGCTCCTCCCTGGCTTAGGCTCCTAGTTACAAAGCTAACTAGTGGTAATCCTCGCTCTTGTCATCGAGGAGTATGGTTTTAAGGTGGTCCGCGACATCTGCCGTCCGTTGCTTGCATTCTACCAAAATGTTTGACTCGCTTAATTTGTAGGCGCCGCCTTCTAATTTACGATTTTTTTTTCCTTTTTTTATAATAAAAACTTGTCAGTACAAGAATCTCGAGATGAGAAATTGTCAGTACTCGATGCTTTGGAGAGATTATAAGTTGAAATTTTGGTTGTGTTTAGTTTCTTCTAAAGTTGGAAGTTTGGGTTGAAATTGTTACAATGTGACTGAAAACGACAGGTTGATGTGATGAAAAAAATTAGAAGTTTGGATTCAAAGTTTGGATCCAAACACTTGGGCTGATTAATCAGTAGTATAGGGTATACTCGATTAACCTGCTGCTAAAATATGAGTACGCGCTAAGGGGCCAGGAAGATGAGTTGGTCAAAGCTATTGCGTATTTGCGCATCATACTCTTATTCATAGTCGTAGTACTCTTGGTCAGGGCCATCCTCTGACTTCTAGTTGACTATTGCGTCCATGCGGGCGTGGCGGGTTTGATCCGGATCCCATTCTCCTGCAGGAAAAGCGGCTGGTCCAGTGATACCAATACATGAGTCAAGTCAGCGGGAAAAAAAATAAATCAAAATTTCTCAATTCTTGTTAGTTTATTTGCCGGATTATTTGCTTCACGACTAAAGAATATATTTCCTTAAAATACATTCTTCTAGTATTTATTAAGTTTATTATCAAAATATTTAATTTATCGCTATAATCAGGCAAATGTTGTGTACAATCCACACAATAATGAGCATGTTCAGCTTAGATTATTGGTGCAGCGGTTGCAGTTACACCTACAGTACAGCTATTGTATAAGAAACACGGCAACTAGTCTATTACAAGAGATATACTCCCTCCGTCCCAAAATAAGTGCAGTTTTGCACTATTCACGTTCAACGTTTGACCGTTCGTCTTATTTGAAAATTTTTTATAATTAGTATTTTCATTACTATTAAATGATAAAACATGAATAGTACTTTATGTGTGACTAAATATTTTCAAATTTTTCATAAATTTTTCAAATAAGACGGACGGTCAAACGTTGGGAACGAATATCCACGGCTGCACTTATTTTGGGACGGAGGTAGTAGCTGTACAACTGTAGTCAAGGGGCTACTGAACAGGCCCAATCTGCTTCAAACTAAGGCCTCTTCCTATAGAGCTAATTCTTTCTTCCTATATAGTTGGTACCCACTAGACTATAAAGCTTGCACCACATTGCGCCACGTCATCCTTTTCTCTTGAGCCATTGGATTATTTGCAGGTCTCCGGATGGACGTTAGATCGACATTCAACAATATTGGGCCAGGCCAGACCAGCCCATCCTACTCAGCCTCTGTTACGTGAAACGTTTTTCCGTTGGCCCAGCCCATAACGATGCCACAGCCACGACTCATCGCCTTCTATTAACTGCGCCATGTTCTGTTTTCTCTTTGAAGTAAATCAGTGACAAGAAACTGCAACCACCTACGCGAAGATGAGGTGCCGTAATTAACCCAACTAATCCTCTTCATAACCTCTTTCAAATCATCCTATACCAACCATCAGTCACCTCAAAAGCTCTGGATCAGTTGCCTCCCCAGTCCCCGTTAGATCAAGTACGCGTTGTTGGACAGACTCCTATTCCCAAATCATTTGGATCCAGAGGAAGTCTGTCAGGAGCCTCATCCGGTTTGGCACAGGTATGCATAGTAACCAATCATATGTGCACTATGTGTTTGATAAAATGCCCTGCATCCGTTTTATATGCACTTTGTATTGTTTGCAAAGTTATTTGATAAAATACCTAAATTCAATTGCCTCTTTTTAGGTGTCCGTTGTTGCTGCTTGCATGTTGCATCACAAGGAAATATGTTGGATTTTGTATTCACTTCTCCATTGCAGGCGCATGGTTTTCTCGGACATTTTTCACCGATGAGCTGTGAATTAATGTTAGAGCATGCTATAGGCAGCTTTGGCCTTTCAATTGCTACAACAGTTCAGCATGAGTAGTTGGATATACAATCTTGGATGAAACTTTTGGAGAACAATTATCTTTTCACTACAAGATCTGCATAGAATTTTTTTGCTTGAGTTGGACACAAGGATTTTTCATGTACGGTATGTAATTTTTCCTGTTTCTATTAGTTTGTATCATGCACATGTTTTCAAAATTACATTGCTCTCATCTCTATATGTTTTTTGGTGAGGCAGATAAACCATATTTTGAGCGCTCTCAGCATATTCTTGGGTAACATGTGGTTCATTCTTGAATGTAGCAAGTATTTATGTGTTTACTTAATCACTAAACTTGACATGTCAAAGTTTATCAACATGAAGAAGAAACTTGAAAGAGTATTGTTACTACAGATTTCCTGTCCGAATCAGACCATCAAATATATAATCAAATTCACTAGATCCTCATATTAATTTGCTATATATATTCTCAAAACGATAATGGTTGCTAATGATTCTTCATTGACTCCATTTTATCATCACTGTTTTCATCACTTTGTGTAAAAATGGTTGTTGATTTTGATGGAAATAACATGCTTGGAAACATTGATCATTTCATCAATTTAAATGCCTAATGCTTAGCCGCACGATCAGCATGTGTTGGATGACAAGATGCTTGCATAAAACAACCTCTGCTGATCGAGTCAATCACCTGAAGACTTGGTTCTCACGTGAAGAGAGAACGTGCGCTTGTGGCCGTTTGGCGGCTGCGTTTCTCACGGAGCCGATCCGGCTTTGACGCGGAGGAGCAACGGATTGAGCGTGGGCTGCCGTTCAGTGTTAGCTCTATATAGGAGTCAAGGAGACGTCTTTGAAGGACACAGAACACAATAGCCATCTACTCTGAAATTCCTAAACTGCCGTCGTGTTGCGTCGCCGTCGATCCAAGCCGGCCGTGGTGCTCGTCGTGCAACGAGCATTCCGGCGAGCGGTGTCTCCGAGCCTTCGCCGCATTCGCACCTGCACGGGGGCGGTGTAAAGGTTTCTGGGCAGCGTATTTCTACGCGGCCGCTCGACATCATCGATTGACTGCACTGCTTCAACTCGCTGATCTCCGTCGATCCATTCAGTGAGTGAATTCTTTCGTTTACAAAGGAAAGGAACCGGTGCATTTCTAATCTAGTTTTGTTCGTACCTGAGTTTTTTATATGCATGGTACTGTTCATCTAGATTAAAATATTGCGGCTAGATTAGCATTGTGATTAGCCTAATGACCTACTTGGCTTGGTTATTTATGCCTTGTTTGATATCTAGCATGATAGAATTTATGAGTTTTTCTTGTCCTATCATGTCGCAAGTAGGTTATGCTTGCTGTATATGCTTTCAAATAATAATGCTTGGAATAAAATTAATGGCTAAGTATGCATTATTTCCAACAGATTTTTCATTTCTCCACCTTCTTTATGGCTCAAATACATGAGCCAGGTCCGTCGATATCCAGTTCTCTTAGCTAATTGGACCAAATCTTTATACAAGTCGTCTTCCAGTTTATGATACAATCAAGAATATAATTAAGGACATCCTATCTGCAAGACTGCAATGATCTAATTATTTCAACAAATAAGCAAATTTTCTTGGATATATGTTTAACAATTACTACGAGTCATGTAATATGGAGTATTTTGTTCTCAGAATAACAACCTCGATTTTACATCAATTTTCTTCCTACCTTCTTGCGATGCAGATAATTATTTACAATTTCTTACATATTCTACTCAATTTTTCTCTCCATTATAACAAAGTTCAGCAAACCCGTTATTTGTTGTCAATAGCTCGATTGTTCACACAACAAAAATCATATTGAAGATTACTTAGTAATTCCCGCAGCAAAGCGTGGGGTATCACCTAGTTAAGCTTAGAGCTACGCCGGGAGAGGGAGAGGGGGGAAGGGGGGAGGGGGAGACGCCGGGGGTAGGGGTGGCGCCGGGAGGTAGGCGCAGGGGGACGGGCGCCGCCGGAAGTTGTTACAGGAGGAGGGAGGTGGGCAGGCGACGCCGGGAGCGCCGCCGAGAGGTGGGGGGCGAGCGGCCAAAGGCCTGGCTGATGGAAGAGCGCTACGTGTTGGACGTACGGCGCGAGACGAAAAATCGGACGCCTCACGCGACCGTCTGATCCACGCACGCGCCAACCATCCCCATCATGCAGCGTGTGCCAGCCATCCATCATGCATAAATTAAGCAAGGTTTAAACTATTTTTTCTCTTAAAATATTTATCCGAATCATGATCCGATTGCACCATTAAATCCGTTGCAATTAAATCTTTAAAACAAGACCACACATAAATATAATCCGATGAAAAAAAATAGCTTATTATTGAATTATTTTTAAATGATGCACGCTGTTGCGCCAAGTATATCAGAATTGTTTCACTAAGTAGATCGAAAATATTTCATCGGACGCTGTTTCACCTTATATGAAAATAATGTTTCAGCGAATAGTGAAATGATGTTTCAATTCACTGCAACATTTGATCCATAAATAGTGAAACATTACGAGTACACTATGTGAAACTTTTTTAAATTGAAAAAAAAATCGGACAGTTAAATGTTGCAGTTGACCAGCAAGTGAAACATTATGTTATATATGGTGAAACAAAAAAATTGCAACTGAAACATTTAAATATTTTATGAAACATGATGAAGATACACGTTAGAACATGTCGCTGTAACATATGAAACAACAAGTATTAACGGTTTGAAACATATGTTTTTCTTTTATCAAAATATAATCATGCGATATCTTGATGTAAAGATTTAATTACAACGAATACAACGGTATGATCGGATCATAGATTGAATAAGTAACTTAAGAGAAAAATTATTTTGAAGCTTGCTAAAATACATGCATGCATGCATGAGGTGGGGAGAGAGTAGTAGCAGGTAGTTTCAGGAATTTTGTGAAACACACCGAAGGCACATATTGAAACATATCACTATCACGTATGAAACATTTTGTTTTAACGGTTTGAAACACATGTTTTTCTTTTGACATAATATAATCATGTGAT